TTTGTTAGAGTAAAATATAAAAATTCGACAACTCCTAATCCTATTCAGTTTACAAATTTTTGCGATTCATCTTTTGAACATTTCAGAATGATATTAGGATATATTTTAAAGATCAAAATATAAAAATCGAAATTTATTTATATAAAATAATTGAAACTTTAACAGAAAAAGAATAAAAAAAGTTTTGCACGTTTTACATATTTCACAAATAAATGGAGGTCATTTAGGCATGAAAACTTGCAATAAAATTGAAAACTTCTACAAGTGGCCAAAAATAAAAAGCAAATTAAAAATTTCATAAGTAAATGTGTAAATTGTCAAAAAAAATAAGGTATCACAAAAAACTAAAGAACCCATGGTAATCACAATTGCTGCTAAAGAACCATTAAAAAATTGTGTATTGATTCATGTGGGCCATAGCCATGGCGCATGTAAACGTATGCAAAGGGATCTTATCCAAAATATTAGTTCATGTATAAACAACACACAAACAAATTGACACAAATATATTTAATATGCAATTTTTTTTCACAATACCACCGTACATAAATACAGTAAGAATGATGATGATTCTATATGAAAAAAATTAAACAGGTTGAAAAGAAGTAATATACATAAGATAAAAAAGGAGTATTAAATCAACAAAGAATATGTCTTTTCCATGACAAATTAATATTAAATTTAACCATTTAAATCATAGATAGCAGGATGGAAAGTGTCGAATATCAACCATATTTGTTGGCAATAGCAAAATATGTACACCGTAAATTAACTGCTGAATTCATATTAAAACAGACAACAATTACTGACAGAAATTAGTAAATAAAGATGCATGTTTCATAAACTTGCAGAATCCAGCTTTAATAGTAGATCAAATGGCTAAGATTTCAATAATGTATTACGATTTACATGTACCTTAAAGTGTTTCGTGGACATTTAATCATACAAATCAGGAATATATCCATTGCGATAAAAAACATGCAAGTACTAACATCCACAAATTCTTACTCAAGTTACCTCATGTAGTTATTAAATATAGGATGGTTTTGTACAATAAAACATTTACATGGGCCTCCATCATGTAGAATAGAGTTTCTTCACCGTCATCTGAAATTATAAAATACTATAGTAATTCATATAGATATAAAAATATTATTTTTATATAGCTCAAAAAAAAGAAAAATAAGTACCCATAAAAGAAAATATTTGGAACTGTAGTATATGTATTAGCCATAACCTATTTCTCGAAACGATATCAACAATCATCAAATTGTCAACGCACTTTATAATCCCAAATACGACGAACATTAAGTTTTACATCAAATCAAAGCAACAAATTCACAGCAATACATATAACTATAAATATAAAAACGAACGTTATTAACGATTATTTCTCACACCAAATCAATCTTCGCTTTGGTCATGTACTAAATAAATAAGCAAAATTATCAATCCATCAAAGTACTAACCAAAAGCTTGCAAATAATGTCATCGCCAATGTAGATCATTAATTGTGCACTAAATCACTGAATTGAAACAAAATCGGACTGAAAACCTCTAAATACTTGTTGAATCTAATGCGAGATGCGAGATGCGAGAACCGTCAACGACATACGCACATAGATAACGAATGCTAATAACAGTAGAGCGAACAGCAAACGTAAGGGTGTCGGCACACATGTCATTAACGAGGGAGCGCAGCGGCCATAGATAAGTAAACATAAATAGATCGCTATCTCGGGCCATTTGACATTACCTCCATTTTAATATTTTTAGCGATCTGAAGGAGGCAGCACTTGTTCAGTATATAAATCAACCGCTGGTATTATTCCTAGATATAGTTTGCATACGTAATTCAAAATAAGAAAACCTAAATAATTTCTTATATTGAAAATGAGAAAAAAAACATACGAAGTACAAAATATATTTTCAAATATATCCTATCAATAAACCCTATCAATATCAACAATAGTACAGCAAACGATACCACAAATAACAATAGTAATGCGACAAACAACAACAGCGACATAAACGAACATATGATGAAAATTCTAACTGAAAAAATGTGTACAATGCTAAACCTTCTAACCACATCACTAGCGAACAAAAAATAATGGCAACCTTGTTAAGAATTTGCCTATGGAACGCCAATCAACATGTACAAGAACTAAAATACTTTTTATTACACAATTCAATTGATATCTTGCTTATTTCTGAATCACACCTGACCGATAAGTGCCACATAAAAATACCAAATTATTCCATATACAGCACCCAACATCCCAGCGGGAGGTCACATGGAGGTACTGCAGTTATTATTAAAACAAGCCTTTGTAACTATGAACTTGATCCATATAACGAAGAATTTCTACAAGCAACCACCGTCTGTGTTCAACTTCGACACGAACTAATATGTTTTTCGGCAGTCTACTGTCCTCCAAGACACTCCATCACTAAAGATCACTTTTCCAACTTCTTCACTAAGCTGGAACACAAATTCATAGCAGGAGGAGATTTTAACGCAAGGAATACTTACTGGGGCTCAAGACTTACCACCTCAAGAGGGCGTGAATTGATGAAATCTATAGATAAAAATAGCGATCTTCATAAGAAACCGGACTTTCTACACTTTTTTATTACAAAAAACGTTCAACAAAATTCGGTGAACATTGCAAATAGTTTTGATCTAAACTCGGATCACTCTCCCATTAAGCTAACATACTCTGCAGACACTATAGCCAACACCACAATGGAACTATAACGGAAGATGATTGAAAATAAGATTAACTGCAACATCCCTCTCAAAAACACCGAGGACATCGAAAGCGCACTAGAAAACTTAACAAAAATTATCCAAAACGCAGCGCTATCTGCAACTCCTGTCGTCACCAATTGCGACGCCTTTAATACTCCAATTTATATAAAAAACAAATAGCCAACAAGAAAAACCCGTAAAATCTGGCAACAAACACGCTCCCCAGAGGATAAAAAGAAGTTAAACAAAGCTTGTAAAGAACTCAAAGAAACCATCAACAAACACAATAATAAAACATTCAACGACTATCTAAGTAATCTTACCGCTACAAAAGACTCTAATTTCTCACTCTGGAGAGCTACCAAGAAGCTTAAAAGACCAGTAGCAGCAGTACCTCCATTAAAGAAAAACGATGGATCATGGGCAAGGACTCCCCAAGAAAAATGTGCAGCTTTTGCCGAGCACCTATTTCACACTTTCCACCCAGCTCCTCAAACATGCACAAACGAAGAGGAATCATTTATACATGCACTCCACAGCATCCATCATATATCCGATAAACCTATTAAAAGAATCACTCTGTCTGAAGTTAAGCATCAAATTGAATCCGCTAAATCAGACAAATCTCCAGGCCCTGACGAAATAACAATCAAGATGCTGAAAGAATCGCCAGATATCACACTAATGTTACTAACAATCCTGTTCAATGCAATCGTAAGGACACAGTCGTTCCCAGATAGTTGGAAAACAGCTACAGTTATTTTAATACCTAAACCTGGCAAATACCCCCAGTATGCAACATCATACAGGCCGATTAGTTTGCTGTCAGTGATTTAAAAAATTTTTGAAAAATTATTACTGAAGCGGATTAAATACATATTACATAAAAACAAGGTACTACCAAACCACCAATTTGGTTTCAGAGAACATCACAGTACAATCCATCAAGTACACAGAGTGCTCAACATCATTAACGGAGCCTTACAATCAAAGAATTTCTGCTCTGCAGTCTTCCTGGATGTCACACAGGCCTTCGATAAGGTATGGCACAGCGGACTATTATATAAAATAAAAATTCATTTGCCAAACTCAATCTTTTTATTACTAAAATCCTACCTTCACGGAAGAAAATTTTTCGTTGAAATGCAAGGCTCCCAGTCAGAGCTGAAGGACATAAATGCAGGAGTGCCACAGGGAAGCGTTCTTGGTCCCACACTGTATCTACTTTACACCGCAGATTTTCCCCAAAGCAACAAGTCGGCCACCTTTTCAGACGACACCTGTATTATCGCCCAGCATCGGGACCCAATTAAAGCATCAGAATACCTGCAGTCGTACCTAAATACCATCGAACAGTGGTTAAAAACGTGGATGATAACGATCAACTACTCCAAGTCTGCCCAAGTAACCTTCACGCTCCGAAAAAATACATGTCCCCCCGTTGTACTCCACAACAACCAAATACCATCTCAAGACCACGCCAAATATTTGGGAATGTACCTTGACAAAAAATTAAACTGGAAGACGCACATCAACAAAAAACGCGAACCACTCGAACTTCTCCGTAAATCCATGCACTGGCTTTCTAAGCAGCCGTTCGCAGCTATACAACAAAATTCTTCTGTACAAAGTTATCCTAAAACCAGTGTGGACGTACGGTCTTCAAATATGGGGTTCAGCAAAGAATAGCAACATACAAATAATCCAGCGCTTCCAAAACAAAGTATTACGCCAAGCCATTTGTGCCCCAAGATATGTGCCCACCTGGCTAATCCGCCAAGACACACGTACTCCCACTGTAAAAGTAGAAATCAAAAATATTGCCCAAAGCTACAAAAATAAAATCGATGGACACCCCAATGAGCTCGGAGCAAGTCTATAAAATGTCACGCATCAAAAAAGGCTGAAGAGGACGGAGTTATCAGAATTGACACATTCATTGCATATCTTCATTGTTCTTCATTACATTCCTTCATTATTTATTATTTATTATTTTTTATTTAGACTAGGATGGTTATAGATATGAGTTTATATAGCATCAGTTATTTAAGTACTTATATAGTAATCAGCAAATAGTAACATCATATATCCACACTAGAAAGAATTACCAATGGGTAATCTTTCTAAATAAACTGTATATTATAATATACCAATTACTAAATGTCTCCACTAAGACAGATTGTAATTTGAATGGTAAATAAAAAAAAGTCTGTTGTGAGTTAAACCATTACATAATCATATATTTTCGAAGTAGTGAACATTACAATTTATATATTTTATCAGTGAAGTGAATTCAATAATTTAGTGTTATATAGAAGTTTAATTTATTTTATATATGCTCCCTTCGCCCGAACAAGTATTATCTGATGATTCGCAAACAAATTCAGAATTTATTCAAAAACTTCAAAAGTTTGCAAAAACACAATTTAATATGGATACATCAAGTTCTCAAATGACTTCACAAATGGAAGTGAGTAAACAAAGCAATGAAATAAATGAACCAAATGAACCAAATGAATCAATTAACCCAAACCCGTGGCAGCAGGTTGTCCATGGTATAAAAAGAAAACGTTTTGCAAATAACAATACTAATTTAACTCCTACGTCGAATAGATTCGACACACTTATTAACGACGATAACAATAATCAGGAAACAAATAGTAACATAATTAAAACACAAGTTACTCTGCCTGTTTTTCTATATAGTGTTAGAGATTTTAAATTAATGATTAGTAGTTTAAACACAGTGTTTACTAGTGAACAATATACAACGAAAATCCTGCCGGACCAAATTGTCAAGATTAAAATGGATAGTTCCGATAATTACAGAAAATTTATTCATTACTTGTAAGAACGCAACACAGTATATCACATATATCAAATAAAGACAGAAAGATCGTATCGAATGGTTTTAAAATACATGCATCATAGTACAAAATACAGATATAAATGAAATTAAAACAGCGATTGAAAAAGCAGGAATACATAAAATGCGTAACATATTAAATGTTTTGCAACCTAAAACAAAACACCCACTTAATATGTTCTACGTGGATCTCTAACCAAAATCAAGTTATACATTTTGAAACTCCATTTAAAAGTTCAAACATTATCCAATGCGCAAGATGCCAATTGCATGGTCACTCAAAACGATACTGCAACCGGCCACCGAACTTCCAAGAAAGGGTGTAATTTTTATTACATATATCTTTAATGCAATTTTAAGGATGGAATATTGGCCCTCTACCTTCAAGTTAGCGTCTATCATAATGGTTCCTAAACCAGAAAAAGATTTACATTTAGTACAATCTTATAGGCCTATTAGTCTCCTACCAATTTTGACAAGATTTTTGAAAAAAATATTCTGAAAGACATAAACAAAGAAGTCAGTCTGCTACCAGATCATCAGTTTGGTTTCAGAAAATGACATTCTACTATACAACAATGTCACAGACTAGTGGATTCAACTACTAAGACTTTTGAGAAGAAATAATATTGTTCAGCCGCCTTTCTTGACATAAGTCAAGCATTTAACAAGGTATGGCATGAAGGACTTCTTCACAAAATTAAAACATTACTTCCGTTATATTAGAAGTTTTTTGAATCCTGCTTAAAAAATAGGAAGTTTCAAATAAAAATAGGTAGTGATTACACAGAACCAAAAGTTATGAAGGCTGGAGTACCACAGGGAATTGTGTTGGGACCATTTCTTAATTTGCTATTCACATATGATTTTCCGACCAGGTAGCAAACAACAACTGCCACATTTGCAGATGACATTTCTGTTCTTGCAGTCGATGATAATCCAAACAATGCGTCTTTGAAGCTTCAACAGC